GTGGGCAATGTCTGTGGCAGTCCTGTATTTCTTTTCTAAGTTTTCTTCTTGGAGTTTAATTTACATATACTTAAATGTACAGATATTTAGTGCTCAGTTCAATAAAATTTTACAATTGTATATATTAATGAAACTATTAAACAAAACAAGATATAGAACATTTCTATCACCCCAGAATGTTACCTCTTGACACTTTCTGGTCAATGCTCTTCTCCACACACACATCACAGAAACAACTACATTTTTTTTTTGTTTTTACTATACCTTTACTGATTTCAGAGAGAAGAAGGGAGAGGGAGAGAGAGAGAGAAACATCAATGATGAGAGAGTCATTGATCGGCTGCCTCCTGCACACCCCTTACTGGGGATCGAGCCCGCAACCCGGGCATGTGCCCTGACCGGGAATCGAACCCCGATTGCCTGGATCCTAGGTCAGTGCTCAACTGCTGACCCACGCTGGCCAGGTGAAACAACTACTCTTGATTTTTATAACCCTAAATTAATGTTGCCTGTTCTTGCATTTTATATACATAGAATAATACAGTGTGTGCTTCTTGTGTCCAGTTTCTTTCACTCCACGTAATACCTTGAGATTCATTTATATTTTTTGTATATATCTGTAGTTTTTCCTTTTCATGGTTACAATTTATTTATTTTTCCATTTTATAGACATTTTCATTGTTTCTAGTTTGGGGCTGTTTGAATTTCCTTTTTTAAAGAATTAGGATTCTTTAGCCTGGAGTAGACCATGCAAAACTGTGAAAAGAGGGCATATATTTTGCAAAGAGAATGTTTCCTTAATAAAAGGTTCATTCCTTTGTTGAAGAGAAAATAAGATTGAGTTTCTTTGGGGGCAGAGAGGATTTCAAATGAACTTCAGAAATCCTCAGCGGTAAGGCGTGAGGAACGCGGGACTCTCTTCCAAGGGTGCGAATGGCATCGCCCTCACTGAAGGGCTTGAATGGCATGCGCCCTGGCCGATGTGGGATGATCTGGGTGAAATTCAGAGGCAGGAGGAAGGGCCAAACCGGTATACCCCAGGTGTCATTTTAAGTCCTAAGCCACCCTAGAAACCCCTCCATTACCTGCCGTGGCGGAGACAGGCTCTGCTGCCTGGCCCGACTCTCCAGTTCGCTTGGAGAAAAAGTTCAGTCCCCCTCATCTGCGAAACCCCACCCCGCGGCCCGTCCGTGTGGCCGCCCAGCCACTGACTCGTTGCACGCGTGCTCCAGTGCCAGCTCTGAGCTGTGTTCAAGTTGAATAAAAATTACTTCTTTTGACACTATATGAATAGAATGAGGAATTAAATTAGGAAATAGATTAAAGTTTAGGAAAGACAACATACTTAATGATAACATACTCATAATATCTACTTTACTGGAAAAGTAAGGGCCCAATATAAAAGTATTTCCTTTTCTGGCTAGGCATGGAGTTACGGTGTTGAACATGTAGGCAGCAGTCATGACATTTATTATGGCAAAGTCCTGGCTTGCACTTGTCTCCAGACTGGAGGGTCGTGCCACACGGGGTAGAATATTCAGATCATGCTGGCAGCACATCCTGACGTTTAATCATCACTCCTGGCCTCTCCCCTGCTCCTCCTGAACTCCTGCTCCCCAGGGAGGGACAATGACTAACCCAGCTGACAGGCTGGGAGAGGGCATTGCGCAAGCTCAGCTCAACTCCTCCCTCCTTCTCCGCCTAGTGAATGCGTCTACACTCTGCCACATGGTCCTAGTGGTCTGCCTCTGCCCAGTGGAGACAGTGTGTGGGTGAACCTTCCAGTTCTGCCAAGAACTGGGTGGTCGAGTTGAATTCAAGAGTGAAGTATTGTCTAGACCATTTGGCTCCAGTTTTAATGCCACATTCTCCAGTCAAACTTTCCAGTAGACACTTTGAGTATGCTATCTTGAAGTATGTCATCTTTCCTACTTTTCTAATTCCTAATTTAATTTGCACTAGGGTGGCAGAGAGGGGTCTGATAACATGTAACTTTAAAAAAATGAAAATGTAGCTCTCAGACAAATATATTTCATTCTTTAATGGGGGAAATGTTAGGAAAGTAAGAAGATGATACAAGACACTGAAAGTAAAAAGAAAGACTGCTAAAATCAATTCTCAAGTTGGATGTAAAAATAGCTAACATTCTATGGAGAAATAAACTTCAAACTTTAGGATACTTTTTCTTCCGAAGGAAAACAAAAATTACTTGCATCCACACTGGAAAAAACAAATTTGCAAGTTATCAATCTTTTCTAAGTACACACATAACTTTACAGAAACAGGGCCTTAATTAAAAGTAAATAATAAGTTAAAGTCATCTTCCCTTAGATCATCAGGTGACTCTTGTGAGACAGTGTGGCTTCTTAAACAGTGCTGTAGTTTGGCTTCTGAAAGGCGTAAAGTAATATCTTTGCTTTATTTTCAAGTCTAGATACTTTTTCTCAGCAGTTTTCTTTATCAGGACACCAAAACTTCTGAAAGACAAACACTCATTCAATGAAAAAACACCCCTGCCTGGACTATGGCCAATGGAAGGCAGCTGTCACTAACGGGGCACCTTAACCACCACAAACAACACCCCTAAAACTAACCCATACTTATAGCATCTGTTAGGGACTGAAGGTTTCTGTCCCCCTCCCCCAACTTCATATGTTCAAATCCTACCCCCGCCCCAAATGTGATATTATTAGCAAGGAGAGGCTTTGAAAGATGATTAGGTCGTGAGAGTGGAACCCTCATGATGCAATGAGTGCCCTTACAAGAAGAGACAGCTCTGGCTTCCTGCTTTTCCTGCCATGTGAGGACGTAATAAGACAGCCATCTGCACAGCAGGGGGAAGGCCTTCAACAGATACCAGACCTGCGGGCACCTTGATCTTAGACTTCCCAGCCTCCAGAATCACAAGAAATAGACTTCTCTTGTTAAGTCACCCAGTCTATGGTATTCAGTTATATCAGCCAAAGCTGACTAAGGCAACATCTACATAATGATTGATTTATGATAGACATATTTACCTTTCAGATAAGTAAGATGAAAAAGATGCCTCCAGATTGCTAAATTAATCGACCTTTTTAATGAAGTTATTTACAGCGTGTGTTTACTTAGGCCTTAGGCTCTCCTTTTATTGCCTTATGAATACTAAGGAGTATCTGCTTTAAACCATGGTTTATTGTGAATCATTAATATTTAGCTCTTCCAGCAACAATTGACCAGAAGTTTCCATTTGCTCTTGTTACTACATTTGGTTCTGTGCCATAAACATAGAACAGAGCATTTGTCTATCTCTTCGCAGTGGCTGGAAACCATGGAGCTAGTTCATCTAAAAAGTATATCTAGTCATTTTAACTAAAGATAATTGGAACTAGGGCACAAAACTGTTTTATGCCATTTCGTAATGGAATTTGTTCCATCAACTACCTATTCCTCATAATTCTGAGAGTCACAATTATTTTTAGGAAGAAGATTCTGAAGGAGCAATAATAGCCTGGTATCTATTTAAATATGAAATAGCCTGGCTCTTCAATTGTTTCCTTTTATGGTATCAGGAATTGATAGCGGGAATACAATCAGAAATTGTATTATTATTCAAAACAGTGAAGAAAGTCTTTAAGTAATTCTCAACAATTTACTAAATTGTAATAGCTCAATAATATAATATTTCATCCAAGGTCTTCTTGTACACTTATTAGAATATTCAATTGAAGATGTTGGACTACAGCATATTATGTATAAAACTGGTATAGAGGTACCAGGAAATACCTAAAGAAACTTTTGAAAATAAGAGAATTAGTGAAATATGTCTGGGAAGCCAAGCTAAGATATAAATAGATATTAGTATATATTCTAATTCTAGGCTTTTGTTGAAATTGTTTTATATACATATTTTAGTGAGATGCCTTAAGCTAAAATCAAAGCTTGGCATTTCCCTCTGCTTATGGAAGACTGAAGAAAGAAAAAAGCATTGCAAAAGTGGAAGATGCCCTGTGTAATGCAAGTTTTCCCTTTTTTAAAAAAAATATCTCTTTATTGATTTCAGAGAGTGGAAGGGAGAGGGGGACAGAGAGATAGAAACATCAATGATGAGAGAGTCATTCATCAGCCGGCTCCTGCATGCCCCTCACTGGGGGTCGAGCCCTGCATCCCAGGCATGTGCCCTGACTGGGAATCGAACCGTGATCTCCTGGATCTCATATCTATATGCTCAACCTCGGAGCCATACTGGCTAGGAGAGTTTTCCTTTTTATTTGAGGATATTAAAGTTTGCCATATAGTGTGAGATCACAAACAAATAGATGGAAGAACCTTATCTTTGTTAAGCAGAGATGGGTAAGTTGGTAAGCCATGAGGTATGTTAGACAAATAAAGGAAATGGAGAATATGTGTGTGAATGCAGAAAGTGATGGAACAAGTAGACACTAAGTTTTTATAATATAATCACTCTAGAAGAATCACTCAATATTCGTGAGATCTTACATCAGCCTCCGTTAGTGAAGCCCATTCTGGTCCCACCTATTCTCTGCCATATGAAAAAGCATAGCAGCCCATCGGGCTAATTGCGAGCTGCTTTGTGACCACGGGCACTTGGCCCTAGAACAGCTGGCCTGGTGGTGAACTTACAGGAAACCGTTGCTTCAATGTGATTTCTTATCCTACAACAGGAATTGAGAGAAAGTGTATTTCAAAAGCTTGGAACTACAATCCTGGACCTCAGGCAATTAGGTTTGTGTTTGTATCCCTTTAGAGTTTCCCGCATCTTTTATCACCTTTTTCCCTATAAACCATACTGCTTCGTTCCTACAATGAGTCACTGATAGTAATAGCATCTATTGTCCCTTCATAGATTTGGAGCTGCAAGGCTTCCTTCACCTGATGGCACATTTTATATTTCTTTCTCTCCCTCGCCCGGTACCCTTTGTCTTTTCCCTTCTTCCCTCTCTCCCTTTGGAACTCTCCTTCTCTCTGTCCCTCCCTCCCTTCTGCCACGTCCCCTCCCAACCATGTCGTCTGACAAGATCCAGAGTGGAGAGGAAGCTTCACGGAGGCGTCTTCTGGGGAGAGGACGTGGCATGTGGGTGGGAGTAATTGGCTTAGTGGGAATATCTCTTCTCCTCCTTGGAGGGGGATTTTGGGTCGTAAAGTCAATAACTAACCTGGGAATGGCAAATAATGATGTGTCCCTAAAAATCACTTCTGAAGAAATCCTGATTTCCCCAGGTCCAGTCACTACCACATGTGCTGGATGCTTTAACAAATTGTTATTAGAAGAAGCCAGGAAAACTCCCCCTGGCGCCCCCAGTGAGGAATTTACGGAGGAACCAGAGGAAGCTGAGCTCACGCAGCCGCCTACGTTCCAGTGCCCGGCCTGTGAGTGCAGGATTAGTCGAGGACAGGAAAAAGGCCATCGCCCCTCGCCTACTGCACAAGGACCACCCTGGGTAGCACACAGAATAAATGGCAGATTGTGGCATCCCCTAAAAGGGGCTAACAGTGTGGAAAGGCCACCAGGCCCTCCTCTGCCTTACACAGGTGCTTCCAATGGGAACAGTATCAAAACAGTTAATGTAAGTGGAAGGCAAGCTCAGTATGAGAACCTGCCCTTCATGAAAGGCTTGGCGAGGCAGTGGCCATGCCGGTGCTCGCTCCCCAAGGAACAAAAGCAAAGCATTCTCAAGCAGGTAATCAACAGCTATGGCAAAAGGCACTCTTTTCTTAGAAGAAAATGGCAGGAAGAATATAATAGCTTATGAATAGGTCCATAGTTAAAATATAACCACAAGAAGTAGTAACCACAGGCAAATATTATATAAAATATTTGCCTCACAGGCTAATATATTACTGCTGCAAACAAAGCTGCATCTATCACTCTGTAGGTCACTGATTTTTCCTTTCTCCTCTATTCTAAAAAATAAGTCAAAATGGTTCCATTCTGATGAAATCGAAACTTGTATTGTTTAACCTGTGAATAATATTTCTTGCTTGCTAACTGAAAAAATGTAATCGTAGCCAAAAAAGAAAGTATAAAAGATTATGTTGATTCTCAATAAAGTGGAACAGTGTCACGCCACCTCCGAGGCGTGTAGTCCGCTGTCTCCCAGCGCCGACGCCTTGCCCCCCTTCGGCACCCCTGACTCCCCCTGCGGCTGGACCGCGGCACCCTTCCTCCCATTTTCCTTTCTTTCCCTCTTTCTCTTATTTCTTTTGGCCATCCTGGCTGCTTCTTACACTTATTGTAGGAATGTTTCAAGGTAGTTTAATGGAACAACTGAGTGTAGAAAAAGATTATTTATGAAAACAGGTGAAAAAGAAAATTTAAAATCTTTGTTGGAGATATATGGCGATGCTAGAAATGAGGCTGTTACAACACTCCAGACCCCAGAGCTTTCCCTGAGCCACACACTTGAAGCTAAACCTTCTAGAAGTTAATGCAAAGTGGGGAAACTGATCAGTCACTGTGTTCCCAACTCTTGGACACATTGCTGTTTAGAACAAAACTAAAGTTCCCTTAGTAAGGAATAAACAGTTGTTGGGTAGAAAACTAGCAGTTCCTACCACCTGGCATGGTAATGTTCATGCACACTCTTCCTCCTATAAATAGGATTTCTTCCCAGACCCTTCCCAAGTAATTACCACACCACTGTCCTATCAGTTATTTCATTCAGTGTAAAGACCAGATTCCTGTGTGATGTGCTGCCCATTTCATCAGGTGTTGAGTTGGCCCCTCATAGTCTGGAGAACAACACTTAAACAGAAGCTAGAAGCTTCCACGTAGAACATACCCGTCCTTGTTGGGCAGGAGCAATGAGCACTCGCTACTCCGGCAGACAGCTAAATTCCTTGGTTAGCTGAACTTGGGAGGGTCCTCTTGTTTATTACTTTCCAAGACATCATTCAAGGAAGGCTTGGAGAGGACATCTTTTGGGGGGCTGCTCAGCTTCCACAACGCATTTCCTATGGGTGTGATTTGGAGGGTTCTGGGATTCCTGTGTAAGTTGGTCAATCATGCAATGTTTAATATTTCTTTAGAAATATAGTTTCCTCTAAAATTTAGTTGGCTCTCAGTCTCTTCCAGTCAATTCTTTTTAAAAAATATATCTTTATTGATTTCAGAGAGAGGAAGGGAGACGGAGAGAGAGAGAGAGAGAAACATCCATGATGAGAGAGTCATTGATCGGCTGCCTCCTGCAGGCCGCCGACTAGGGATGGAGCCCGCAAACCCGGGCGTGTGCCCTGACCAGGAATCAAACCCCGATCGCCTGGATCCTGGGTCAACGCTCAACCGCTGAGCCACACCCGGCGGGGCTCTCCCAGTCAATTCTACATGTGACAGCCACAGCCAGAGGTCGTATGGAGTTACGATGTTAAGGCCTGGGAAATATTGTTTCCTAGCAATAGGTTTTCATATTCCATACTTCCTGCCCTCACTTTAACTTAATTGCCATTGGCAATGTGCAATCATACATTTGATGGAAAAGAAACATCTTTTAGCCTTTTTTTTTTTTTTAATCCTCATTCAAGGATATTTTTTTCCATTGCTTTTCAGAGAGAGTGGAAGGGGGAGAGAGAGAGAGAGAGAGAGAGAAGCATCCAAGAGAGAGAGACACATCTATTGGTTGCCTCCCACACGTGCCCCGACCCGGGCTGGGGATGGAGCCTGCAACCGAAGCATGTGCCTTTGGCTGGAATCAAACCCCAGACCCTTCAGTCTGCAAGCCAAGGCTCTAACCACTGAGCCAAACTGGCTAGGGCAACTCTTTCAGCCTTCCTTACCAGCAGGTTTACCTCCTTGTCTTGCAGAGAACATGAAGAAACAACTGGAAACCCAAAACCAGACCCTGGGAAGGCGCTGCTTCAGCTCTGGTAAGAAAGGCTTCCGTTTGGGGAAGGAAAGCAGCCTTTCCTCTCAAGGCTGGAACACTCATGTCATAGGTTTCTCAGGCAACTCAGATTGCAGGCTACAGGCAGGGCCTGTTCTCTTAGCTGCCACACTGACCAGCTCTTACCTGAGCTCATCGTTCTCAGGTAGGACTTCGCATAAATCAGCAGTAAGTAACCCACATATTTTGAGGTTTTTTTAATCATTTCTTCTAAGCTCAAAGTCTGTGCATGAAACTAAATGTTTCGTTGCCGTATAAAAAAAAGATAAAATACCCAGCTTGAAATAGTGGGGCGTAGTTATCTATCTTTCAACCTTCTTTACCCGGGAAATCCACATTTTCTGCTTTTTTTTTTTTTACATGAAGAATGCATATTCAAGTAACGGAAAATTTATTACACTGGCTTAACTAAATAGGGATGTGTATGAGTCTGCTCAGGCTGCTTTAACAAAAATACCACAGACGAAGTGGCTAAACAACAGAAATTTATTTCTCATGGTTCTTGAGGCCAGAATTCTGACATTAGCTTTCTGGTTAAGAGTTTTCTTACTGGGTTGTGGACGACTGTCTTCTCACTGTGTTCTCACAAGGAAGGGGTAGGCAGAGAGGGGGGGGAAAGGAAGAGAGAGGGAGAGAAATCTTTCTCTCTTTCTGTAAATTCAATTAAACATTTTCTTTTATTCACAGAAAGATCTCTCTTCCTCTTTTTATAAGGTTGGCAATCCTATCTGACTAGGGCCCCACCCATATTACCTCATTCAATCTTAAATACCTTCTAAAAGCACCATCTTCGAATATAGTCACGTTGGGGATTAGGACCTCAACATGCAAATTGGTGAGGGGGTCACAATTCAGTTCATAGCTAGGTTTCTGTTTTTAATATAAAATTCTGGTGGAATGAAATCCAGGGTTGATGTAGCAGCTTCATGATGTTACCACTTTCTCAGGCTCCATCTGTTTCCCTGCCTTGCTGCCCTTAGCATGTGGCTTCTGTTCCATTGGTCACAGATGCCTACTTCATATCTCCTCACTTTGGTGGTAGAAAAGATGAAAAAGCAGGGTCATATGTTACCAGGAAGCAATTTTTTTTTCTCCAGAAGTTCCCAGCAGACTGTTGCTTACATCCCACTGGCAGGAACTGTGTCATATGGAGACCCTAACTGAGGGGGTGGAGTGCTAGACATCGACTTCTATAGCTTGGGGTAATTTTGCTTAGAACAACGTTGGAATTCTGTTAGTGAGGAAGAGGGGTGAACAGACATAGAAAAGGCAACACTCAGTGTTCGTTCCAATATCCCTCTAGATAGGCTGATAATAACATCAAGCATAATTCAATAAAAAAATCAGGAGTGGGTCCCAATATAACATATTCTGGATTTATAAGTTTTTGATATTTTGGTTTAATCCACAGAAAAATTCTAAAGTTTCCTCCATCAATATATTTTTCTGTACTATTCTCTATGAATATTTTTTCTGTATTAAAACACAGTTTGATCTACCACCAACTTTTACATTCAGGCCCATCATCAGATTTTAGTTGCTAGTACTAGTCTCTACTTAAAAGAATTTGGAGGGTGGCTGAATCTATGTTTTGGAACCAGAAAAAAAGTGTGTTCCCTCAAATCACGAGCCCTCTCTGGGAGGAGGCGTTGTCCCTCTGCACTGGCTCTTTGTCAGAGTGCGTCTCCTCCATGCAAGGCCGAGGTGCAGAGGTGCAATATCACATTTTGCCAGTAGATGGCAACAGCATCTAGCACGAGAAGATTTCTGACTAGAGTCCCCTACGTTTGAGGCATTGAATAAGGAATCTTTATTTTCTTTCATCAGTTTTGCTAGTTGTTTTCAATAAGTGCTCTTTGTGTGAAAGGGGCCTAGGCATAAGTGGGATCATGTCCTTATCCTGTTTGAAATCTTTCATTGTCTTCCCAATTAATTACAGATGTACAGAAGTACACAGATAAAAGAAAGAAATGCTGTGTAGCCAGAGCTGCTCTTACACCAGGCCTGATTCCCTTCTTGCATTCGAACTTGGTTCTCCAGCTTCTTGTTTGTTCCATAAGCTGCTTGTTATCCCTTTAATGTATTCCCTTTTTGCTTAAGTAACCAGAGATGTTTTTTGTTACTTGCAAAGCAAGAATCTTGAGATGCTTTTCCCTCTGGAGTCTTACTGCATTATACCTGGTTTTGGATTTGCATATTTGCATGGCCTGTTGCTATTTTTTAAAACTTTGTTCACATACTTTTATCCATGAAGGCTTCCTTGATATCTTCAGTTGTACTTAATTTCTCCATTATTTGAACGCTATGACTGATCTATATCACTTATATAGATCTATGATTTTCCCTTCGGGACTTCAGGACTGCAGTAGAATTGGATGGACTTTCCGAGTGAGATAGCTGGCTGACCCAATCAACTAAACGAAATAAAGGGTCAGATGCAACACCACTCCTAAGTAAGAAAATGTTTTAACAAATAGGAGATCTCAATATACAATGCTTTACATCCCCCAAAGTAACCAAATAAGGTCCTCCCAGGATGGGGTGATAGAAGATATGGGCTA